TTTTTTCTGTATTACAGTTGTAACAGACATCATTGCTTGGATGTACAGAGTTCATACTTAAAGAGAAATTTGCCTACAAATGAGACACTGAGCTCTCATGGTTATTTTTCTCCTAGGACAGCAACATTCCAGAATAACGTTCGATTACATCGTTGATTGTGGTCACCAGCCTCTGAGATGGCTCACAGTGACAACTGTCTTCTGGTGTTTCCCCTCCTCGGGTAACCTTTCACATGGAGTAGGGTGACCTATAAAAATGCCTCATTGTGGAAATGAAGAGTGACTTCTCATTAGGTCATAGAAGCCAGATGTGATAAACCACTGTAATCCCAGCACTCTGAGGCTGAGGCAGGAGCACTGCAAATTCAAGCCCATCCTGGGCAACTTAGCAAGATCCTGTCTCAAAAAATAAGTCAGGGGGCCAGGGATTTAGCTCAGTGGCACAGCGCCTGCCTGGCAAGCGCAAGGTCAAGTTCTATCCCTGATACAAAAAAAAAAAAGAAAATCCCAGCACACCGGAGGCCAAGACAGGAGGATTACCAGGAGTTGGAGGCCTGCCTGAACTACATAGCCAAGACTTTGTCTCAATAAAACCAGTAACATAACATAAAAAGGGCTGGGGGATGTAGCTCAATGCAAAAGCCCTGGGTTCAATGCCCAGTGGTGCAAAATAATAGTAATAATTAATAATAAACAGCAGCTTCCGCCTTACAGCACTTGCCTAGGTAAGAGAGCAGCCTTAGGAAGGGTCTACACAGTGAGAAACTGAGGCCTTCTGCCAAAAGGTCAACTTTCTTCACACTAATCTCTAAAATTATGCTTTAGTTGTTCACTCTATTCTGTCTTACTCATCCTTGCATCACCACTGCTTAGAAAAATGCCTGGCATGTTTTAAAAATGAGTTTAAGATGCCTGGAATCCCAACACTCAACAGGCTGAAGGAGAATCACCAAGAGTTCAAGGCCAAGGCCAGCCTGGGATCCGTGAGACCTTAACACACACACACACATTTTAATTTTGGGACAGGGTCTAATTTGGTAAGTAGCCCAGGCTGGGCTCAAACTTGGCAATCCTAACTCGGTCTCCCCAAGTGCTGGAATTTCAGGCATGCACCACCCCACCTGGCTTTGATGCTAAACTGTACAACTGTACTTGTCTTCAGGGTTTTATCTGTAACAGGTTAGGGATTGAACCCAGGGCCTTGCACATGCTAGGCATGTTTTCTACCCCTCCACTACATCCCTAGTCCTCCCTGAGTCTTTCAACAGGAAAACCTCCAGATATAGCCACAATTACACTATTTTTTAAAAACTTCAAGTACTTGAAGAAACCATAGTAGAACTTTTAAATATTGGAGAACTTTTCAGTTTGATGTAACACCCAGAAGCCAAAAAGGAAAACATTAATTCAAATTCACCAAAGTGACTTCCTGCAAGTGCTGAATACAACCAAAATCAAAGCCAGAATGAAAGGGGAGGAAAACGCTTATCAGAAAGAACAAGGGAACTTGACGCAGGAGAGATGAGGAAACTTGCTCAAGGCCCCGTGTCTGGGAAGTTGGCAAGGAGGAACCCAGTCTGAAGGCCAGGGTCTTCCCATTAATCTCCAAAGCTGTCCAGAAACCCGAGCAAAGAGGCTTTGAGATCTGAGTTTTCCACCTTGATTCGCCCTTGCAGTTACCTGGCATCCATTCTCAGGCCCCATCCAAATCTGCTAAGTCAGGATTTTGTATGACACAAGTAGTCTCATTGCTTGCCTGGCAGAATTGCTTAAAAAATAAATCTTTTTTTTAGATAGTGAGATTATGGTAAAACAGGACGAAGAACTTTGTTGTGAGAAGTTTAAGGCCTTGGGAATGCAGAACTACATTTCAGACCAGTATGTTGTTATTTACCTTTTGCTCAACTGGAAAATGCTACAAAGGATAAAGGTGAAAAGAATCTAAAAACTTTTTTTACAGAAAGGAAGAAAAAGCACAATTCTGACTGCTCACACAGACTTGTGCTTGCTCCCAAGGTTCTGCTGTGAAGGCCCATTATCTAGCTGGGCTTGATACACGGTGTGAAATGGATGAATTGTTTGAACTCTGGTGAGCTTTTAGGCACATCCCTAGTATCTAAATTTGACAAAAATTAAGCCTCAGAATTCCAGACATGAACACCGCATAAATATGAACACACACATTAAAAGTGCACGCTTCTAGGGCTGGGGCAGGGGTCAGCTCAGTGGAAGAGAACTTACATAGCCCGAGGCTCTGGGCTTCTGAAAAGCTGAAACTGCACACTTTAGTCAGTGAATGACCAAGTCAGACCATCATTCCATGCCATTTACCACCACCTCATTTAGACCTGTCTACTTAAAAATGGTAGAGTGCTTGCTTAGCATGCTGGCCCTGGGTTCAATCCCCAGCACTCCAAAATTATATGTGGGACACAACCTTTACAAGGTATCAACTAGTTTGCAAGTAAATTAGACTAGAAAGATGCTGAGTACTTAGCACTCACAGACTCCTATGCTACAGAGCTGCTGGCTGAGGTAGCACAGTGTGGGGCCATGCGCCCTGGTATAGGACTGTCTGGGTCTACATGTTAACTCCTCTCCCTAGCTGCTGTGCACAGATCAACCATCCCTGTCAGTCCATCCATTCTTACTAACTTTAACAAGCACTGATTACTACATACCAGACACTATTTGCTGCTACTCACACTTCATACCTGTGTGTCACCGTAACTGAAAACTGCACTAAATGCTTAGAAGTAGAAAGGTAGCAGAGGCCATAAAGGACTAAGTTTTAATCAGCATCTGAAGTGACTGTGTCCAAACCCAGCGTGCCACTTCCCGCTGAGCTGGGTGACTTTGGCTTTTAACCTCTTGGTCCTTCAGTATCACCTGCAAGATGAGACTAGCACTTAGCTCAATTGTTTAAAAATTAAGCCAGTCATCACCTACCCAAACACTTGAAGATGCATCTGAAGAGCTATTTCTGCTAGTGTCTCCTGAAAAAAGGCACTCTATGATAGCCATGATGTCTTGCTTTGAATTTTTTGCCAGTATGTTGTGGTGCCAAAAACGAAATGTAAGCCGGGCAGGCTGGTGTATACCCCTAATTCCAGCCCTCTGGGAGGCTGAGGCAGGAGGATCACAATTTGAGCTAGCCTGGACAACTTAGCAAGTTGTCGTCTCAAAACAAAAAACAAGGTCCCGGGATAACTCGATTCAAAGCCCTGGGTTCAATACCCAGCAACGGGACATGTGCACACAGACTACACACCCAAAATACAAGTATTTGTGCAGGAAGTTTCTAAATATAGAACTGAAAGAAGAAAACATAAAAGAACACTAGTCTCTTGGGGCAGAAAAGTGTATTCTACTAAAAGTTTGTTACATCTGAAGCCAGAATGTTACTAACTTTATTTCCTTAAAAGCCTAATTAAAAAAAAAAAAAAAAGGGCTGGGGATTTACCTCAGTGGTGCCACAGCCTGCCTCATAAGCACAAGGTCCAGAGTTCCATCCCCAGTAGGCCTCCTACCAAAAAAAAAAGCCTAACTAAATCAGTGGCTTTGTATCAATGTCAATCATCTATGTGAAGTTATGTTCAGCATGAAAACTATTTACCTAGAAACTGTTGCTGTGCAAAATTCTCTGCAGATCAGCTGAAATATCGAGCTCTAAAGTCACTTTAAATTACTTAATAAAAGATTAACCACTCATTTACATATTTTATTTGGAAATGTGTATACCAGTACAGTGAAACTAAACTTCAGACAATGGATGTCATTAGTTTAGCTATCATCAGTTTATTATAAAAGAGACATGGAAATTATTTACATGATGAAAGACTGCAGAACTTCAGTGGAATGGGCAGCATTGTGATGCCATTTCAACAGTGATTTACTTCACTCCACATATTTTCCAAGAATGTCACCATCTCTAAATAAGAAATAATCCTACAAACAGATAAACCTTCAGTTAAGACAGGTAGGAACAAATATTCACCATCTTTTTAGAATGAGTAAGTTTACGTACCTTGTCATCTAGAACTACTTTGGTGCCTCCATATTCTGGAAGAAGAACTTTATCGCCAACTTTCACACTCACTGGCTGAATCTCTCCGCCCTTTAGAAAATAAATAAGTTTATTAGGAAAGACATTAGTACATCAATATGTAACTAATTTATATAACACTACAACCGATGAAATGTGATCACTCAAATACAGTACGTTGAAAACGTACTAAGTGGTTAAGTGATATTAATTTGTACTAAAATTATAGTTCCTCACAACTATTATTGTAGAAACGCAAATTGAAACAATGAACATACGGTGGCTTAAACTAAAACCTGATTGCAGTGTTTAGAACTAAAAAGGGAAAAACTATCGTTAGCTAACCAAAGCTAACTGTAAATGTTAAATATTAACTTATGGTCTCTGAAATAAAGCAATTTTTAAAACCATGTATGAAATGGTCATCCTTGACTTCTCTCCACGAAAACTTAAGATCAGTGCAGTTACCATATTTGACCTGAAAATACAAATACACACAGTAGTCACTTACTGAGCATTTTGGCTGACACTTTTGAGGCCCACAGCCTAACTCCGTAATTGGAGAAGCCCTGAGGAACAGCTCAACCTGCTCCTGTTACAGGTGCAACAACTGAGTCCCACAGTTACACAGCCAGCGCAAGTTCAGTGTTAAGAGGTGAAACCAACAGCTCAGGGTCAGTTATTACAAAGCCCCACCAAACTATAATCCTTTGTCTAACCAGAAATTTATAATGTGAGGAACACAATGGGCAGACTTGGCGACCAAATAGTTACTAAAAGCAATTTTAAAGACTCTGGAAATGCACACCATCGAAAGCAAGCAAGTTAATTTTACAATCATTTTCCTTAGGGTGAAATAAGAGATTATCTTGGAAATAAGGCGGCTACTTTAATAACCCAGGAGTTTTTTCTTCTATTTCACACACAAAATTAATCCCACGACAGGCCTTGTTACCTTTCCCTTAGAGCCCGATCCCACAGCTACCACAGTTGCCTGCAGTACTTTGCCTTGAGATTTTTCTGGAAGCATAATGCCTCCCTTGGTGACAGTTTCGGCTGCGCTCCTTTCAACCAATACTCGGTCAAACAGCGGGAGAAACTTCCTAAATGCCTGTCCTGCCTGTGGAGAGAAACGTTGAGGTGAGACCACTAAGAAATTACATGTTCAACAGCCGGTGCCATGCAACCGTTTTGTAGAGCGCGGCCTGGCTTTCGGGATTAACAGCCCAGTTCAGATTATCCGTTCGGGGGAGGCGTCTGCCGCTGCGAGTGTGATTTCCCCTCCGTAGGTCGTTAGGGGTCGTCGTTGCAACCAGACTACGTTTAAGGGCAACCGTGGTTTACCCAGCTCAAGCATCTTCCTTCCTCCCGATATCGGCAATTTGCAGGAAACCCGGGGCCTGGACCTCTGCCGGGGCCATGCTTTCTCCAGGGCATCGCACCCCAAAACCTGCGAACTGCAGGGCCTCGCGCGTCCCGACTCCGCGCGTGACAGAGCTCGGGAGGAAGGAAGGGGCGGTCCGGCCACTCTGCAGGGCACAGGGTCCCGGCCACTGAGCTGGCCTGCGGTCGGACCTGTGGGACTCACCATGGCGGCTGCCCCGGACCTCAAGACTCCGCTGTCCGCTAGCGCAGCAAGGCGAGACCCGCACTCCGGCCTCGGGACACGTGAAAAGGCAGCGCGGCGCGCAGGCGTGCTCGCTCCCGCCCGGCCCCGCCCCGGGCACGCCCCCATCAGTGGGCGCCAGGATTGGCCGCGGCTGCGGGGGCGGGGCCAGACGGAAGAGGACCTCTTTCTAGGCTGTTCTAGGCCCCTACGTGGAGGTGAAAGAAGGACCAGCGCCGTCCCCGCCCGGAAGTGACGTAACGTGACCCTTGAACCGAGGAGAGCGCGGGGTTTCTGGAAAGTTCTGGAACCAAGCGAGGCCCCGGAATCAGCTTAAAGTGGCCGGAGAGCGTGAGGAGTCCGCCACGCAGCGCGGCCCGGCAGCAGAGGGCGGGGCTCGCGCGAGGCGCATGCAGATTGCCGGGCCGGAGGCGGGGCCGGGGCGGGGCCGGCGCGCACGCGGGGCCGCGGGGAGGGCGGGGACTCGCGCTCATTGCCGCGCGCGCCCGGCGCAGCGTCCTCACTCGCCGCCGACGGCCTTCCTCACTGCGTGTCCTCTCGCCGCTGCCCCGCAGGTACGGGGCCTCGGCCTGGCCCGGGCCGGCCTCTTCCCGCGGGCGCTGAAGCCGAGCTCTGAGCGTGCGGCCTGCAGGCCTGCGGGCCCGCGCGCACCGTCACGTGGAGCCCGACCGGGGGGCGGTGCGGGCGGCGATCCGGGCCCCACCGCACCCCTAGGGTCGGAGCAGCGCCGGACGGAGGGCCACTCCCCTCCGTCTCCTGCGTGACCTTGCCCGGGGCGCCCGGAGAGCGGCGCCCAGCGAAGTGCCTGCGGACCCTGCGCCGCCGGAACTGCGCCCGGGTGCTCCCGGCCACCCTCCCCTGCCTGTTTCCCCGGGGCACTTCTGGGGGGCCTGTGCTCCGGGACGTTTCCGGGGTGGCAGCTAACCCACGCGGGCGGAGGAACTGCGTGTCCCTGCTGGGGGTATCCGCCTCCGCCTGGCCTGCGCGGGTACTGTGATCCAGGTCCCCGGACGGGGGTGGGGACACGTGCGCTGCGACACGCGGTGGTGCTGACCGTGGCTTCCTTCCCCGCAGAAATGCTCCGGCTACCCGCCGTCCTTCGCCAGGCTAGACCAGTGTTCCGGGCGCTGGCCCCGCAGCTCACTCGAGCTTATGCCAAAGACGTGAAATTCGGTGCGGACGCCCGCGCCCTCATGCTTCAGGGTGTAGACCTCCTGGCCGACGCCGTCGCCGTTACAATGGGGCCAAAGGTACCAGTGCTTTCATAATTACACATTAACTAAGAAATAACGAGGGGCTTTGTTTTGCGGTGCTGGGGATTGAACCCAAGGCCTCGAACATGCTAAGCAAGCACTCGCACTGAGCTACACCCTGGGGAGGGACAGCTTGCAGGTGGTCACACTGAACTATGGACGGTACTCGGCATCCACTTACAAATGGGTTTGGGTTTGGTTTTGCCTAGACCGGATGGTCTTAGGCTTGATGGTCTTGAAATTTGAGCTACCTCAACCGTGTCTCTGAAACTGTACAGTGTGTGATGTAACTGGTTGGTAACTTATAGCTCAGGCTGGATTCTTAATCTTTCTTCTGCTTGAATTAAATTTTGGATCCTTTCCCAGTACCTGTGCTAAGCGTAGAGAAAATATTAGCCTAACGTGTAATAATGCTTAAAGCATGTGTCTGTAGGTATTAATTTTTTGTTTTTCACTTACAGTAAATGGTAAATATACTAACATAAAACTTAGCTTTTTCTGTGGTTAGCGTTACTGGGGATTGAATCTGGGGCCTTGTGTACATTAGGCAAGGGTTCTACCACTGAATTCGCGGCTCAGTTTCTGTTTTTAAGTGTACTTTTGGGTGGCCTTGAGTGCATTTGTGTTCTTACAGCCCTTGCCACCATGTTCTCCATAACTTTTTTCATCTGCACTTGGAAAACAGTAACACTCTGTCATGAAACAGAAGCATCTGATTTCTTTTGTTACACTAATTTTACTCCATGTTTTCCTGCCTTCTGTTCAAGTGGTTAAAATTGTCATTTAATAGGGAGGAGTAATACTTCCAGGAGGTTTGCTTTTTGTTGTTTGAGACAGAGTCTCACTGTGTAGCCCAGGCTGGCCTTTGAAGGTGGGTAGAGTCACATGATGCTTCATATTAAATTGAACATAATTCAAGTATCAGGAATCTAAAGCACTGTCTAAAATAGTATGTATACTGTTTGTACAGCTCAGGAACAGAAAGTAGCTTGGGCCAAATCCAAAAGATGCAAATTTTGCCATGTTTGAAGTCTTTATGTTGAGAGAACCTGGAAAAATCACACTTTTTTTTTTTTTTTTGTGAGACAAGGTCTCCCTATATAGTTCAGGCTGGCCTTGAAGTCACCATGCAGCCCAGGGCAAGCCTCAAATTCATGGCAGTCCTCCTGCCTCAGCCTCCTGAGTGCTTGGGTTACATGCATATGCCACCACACCCTGTAGTCACACTGTTCTTGCCATAGTGGTTAGTATTTTGTTAACTAAATTATTCATTATACTAAGAATTGAACCTGGGCCTTTCATTTTGAGCTGCATCCCCAGTCCCTTCTTTTTGCTACTGGGGATCAAACTCAGGACCTTGCACTTGTGAGGCAGGCCTCGGAACCACTCCAGTCCCTTTTTTGAGACAGTCTCACTCAGTTGCTCAGGCTTTCAAACTTGCGATCCTCCTGCCTCAGCCTCCCAGAGTAAATTTTAGAGCAAATTATATTACCATCAAAAATAACAGGCGCCAGTCAAAACAAGTATACATGATATGAAGAATTTTCTGGTATGTTATCTGATAAGTGATTACAGTTCTCATCTGTGATACCTAATTCAGTATCTGCTCTTGGCAGAGAAACAAAAGTCATTTTGTCTGTGGACAAAGAATATTGATGAACTTGTACTTGAGATTCATGTTGCAGGACTGATGAAGACAATTTAAGCTGGGCCTGGTGGTATGGACCTAGATTCTCAGCATCTTGGCGGCAGAGGCAGGAGGATTACACGTTCAGAATTGAGATTCATGATGCAGGATTGATAAGAAAATTGATGCCAGGCTTGGTGGCGAACGCCTTTAATCCCAGTACTCCCAGCATTTAGAAAGCTAGCTGAGGCAGGAGGATTGCCCCGAGCTTGAGGCCAGCCTGAACTGTCGCAAGGAGACTTTGTCTTTAAAAAACAAGTTGAACTGGGCCCAGTGGCCCACACCTATAATCTCAGTATGGGGGGAGACAGAAGCAGGAGGGTTGGTTACAAGTTGAACATCAGCTTGGGCAGTTTATTGACTTAGCAAGACAGTGTCTCAAAAATGAAAAGAGCTGGAATGCAGCTCAGTGCTAAGGCCCAGAATTCAGTTACCAGTACTGTGGGTGAGGGGACGCAGCTTGTGTTATTACTGGAGACTGATCTTTCCTATCTAACCCTTAGCGTTTGATCCTGACACTTTTCCTCTACGCTTACAGGGAAGAACCGTGATCATTGAACAGAGTTGGGGAAGTCCCAAAGTAACAAAAGATGGCGTGACTGTTGCAAAGTCAATTGATTTAAAAGACAAATACAAAAATATTGGGGCTAAACTTGTGCAAGATGTTGCCAACAACACAAATGAAGAAGCAGGAGACGGCACCACCACTGCAACTGTGCTAGCGCGCTCCATTGCCAAGGAAGGCTTCGAGAAGATCAGCAAAGGCGCAAACCCCGTGGAGATCAGGAGAGGTAGGAAGGGTCGTCTCTTTGTGTTCACTACGACCGGAGAGAATTCTGGTGGCAGGAATTGTGCCTTTTAGCGAAAGTAAGGGTGTTGTGCATTCTGGTCCTGTTCCACGTCGTGGGACAGAGGTGAGAAGTGTGGTGCACCCTGTGGGGAGCAGATGTGATGGGACTCAGAATGGCTTACCTGGCCGTGCTGAATGCCGTGTGTGTCCGCCTTCTCTTGGTCCAGCTCTCAGGTTGCTTGTGGTGGTTGGGGCTTCACTGTGTTAATGGGGAATTGCTGTTTCGGGGCATGCCATCCCACTGTGTGTGTTATGAAGAGTGCAGGCACAGAAGCTCTATGTTCACTTAATGTCAAGGTATTAAAGTACCTGTCGGGAATCACGACTTGTACTTCTACTTGCTGTGGGGTCCATGAGAATAAGCACTGCAGTGATGTAAATTCTTGAACCAGGTGTGATGTTAGCTGTTGACGCTGTGATTGCTGAACTTAAAAAACAGTCTAAACCTGTGACAACTCCCGAAGAAATTGCTCAGGTAAGGACTTTTTTTTAAAGTAAATTAATAGCCCTGTGGTTGTTTCTGATCACACACTAATGTCAGAATAGTGCTCTCCAGTCACTGACCTTGGGAGCATTTTTCTTGATAAAGCTTTGGCAAAGAACCATAACTTGGAATTTTTGGGACAGGGTCTTTCTGTGTATCTCAGGCTGGCCTTGAACTTGTGATGCTCCTGTCTTAGCCTTTTGAGTGTGGACATTACAGGCACAGGCCACTACACTCACGTCATAATTTGTATTTTAATAAGTTGTCATTTTTCAGACTGCAGGGGTCTAAACAGGTTTGTATGTGTGAAGATGGCCTTAGCCGTTCAGCGGTGTGTTCTGTGGGGCTTTTGCATGCTGGACAAGCCCTCTACTGCTGAGTTAAACCCTCGAGTCTGAATGTGCAGACTTGTCATCGGTTTCTGATGTCACCACATTTCATAAGGGAAAGTAAATGAAGTCAGCTTTACTTCTCATTTTAACATAGCTGCCTCCTCCCCAAAATGTAGCCAAGTAACAAACAGACAGAATTGGTGGGCTGGGGGTGTGGCTCAGTGAAGAAGAATGTTTGCCCGAATGCACGGGCCCTGGGGTCAGTCTCCAGCACCACAGTGGACAGTCGGTTCATTAAAATTATTGCACTCTAATCATACATATTTCCCTCTGTGTCTGTTATAAATGTACTAGGAAAGGGAAAGGGAGTTGGGGAAACTAGCTTTACTATTTCATTTGGAAGAGTTACTTAACTATTTCAGGTTGCTACAATTTCTGCAAATGGTGACAAGGAAATTGGCAACATCATATCTGATGCCATGAAGAAGGTTGGGAGGAAGGGCGTCATCACAGTGAAGGCAAGTGAAGTGTGTGGTGCTCCTGCCCCAGAACTGTGCTGTTGTCAAGCTGCCCCACAAGCCGGGTCACAGGCTGTGCGCAGCCCAGGGGCTGGCGAGGGTCTTCTAATGAGTCTGACCAGAAGTGGGAAAGCTCGTTGGTGTGACCGGGTACCCTTGGCTTCCTGGAAAGAATCTGCTTGCACAATAATAGCATCTACTCTAATGGAAGAATCATTCAAGTATCCACTTTGGAACATTTTTCCAGAAGTGGAGCTGGATGCTCTGGGGCAGTTGTGTATTTTTCCTGAATCCCTCATTATCTTAGGGGAGGGGGCACCTTTTCATTAATCTGCTCTAGAATTCCAGGTTTTATGTATTTTCCATGAAATCCTCATTTTTTGGCTTTTTGTAGGATGGAAAAACCTTGAATGATGAATTGGAAATTATTGAAGGCATGAAGTTTGATCGAGGATATATTTCTCCATACTTTATTAATACATCAAAAGGTAAGAGCAAATCAGTAACAGATTTTTAGGATTCAGTACTTTGTTAACATAGACTTTAGTTGGTGGCATACCTCTAAAAATGAATTCATAACGTTCCAAAAGTTATGTACAATAAAGAGGAAAAGGCTCTTAAGGTGTTTTAGAGCTTCAGGTTAGTTTTTCACTTAAGTACATTGTATTCATTTTCTCAAAATTGCAGGTCAGAAGTGCGAATTCCAGGATGCCTATATTCTACTGAGTGAGAAGAAGATTTCTAGTGTCCAGTCCATTGTACCTGCTCTTGAAATCGCCAATGCTCACCGGAAGCCCTTGGTCATAATTGCTGAGGATGTTGACGGAGAAGCTCTTAGTACCCTGGTTTTGAACAGGTAATAGTTTACATTTCTAATGCAAAACAGAATTATACAGTGTTGCTCTTTGAAATCTACATCACAGACCCCACATTGGATCTTTTTGTGTGTCCAGAGCAGTAGTGTATAATAAACGTGTTCCATGGAGCCTTGTGTTTCAGTTGTTTTGAGTGGTACCCCAAAGTCCTTAGCATTTTGTGCAGCTTTTTCTTAAGGTAGGCTATTGAGGGCCAGGGATGTAGCTCAGTGGTTCCGCCGCCTGCCTCAAAAGCACAGGGACCCGAGTTCGATCCCTTGTTAACAGCTTTGGAAGGTGTGTGGCTGAGTGTCTTTACCAAGACAGTCTGGGGGTGTGGCTCAGTGGTGCGACACTTGCCCAGCATGTGTTGTGGACCCAGTTTAATTCTCAGCAACAAGGAATAATTTAGATGTTTAATAAATGATATGAAATAGGGAAATCACCACTCAGTCTAAAGTGAGGTCTCTTTGCTTATTTTTATTTAAATCCTTTTATCTTCTGGTTTTCTGAGACACGGTCTCACTATGTCATTCAGGCTGGCCTTGGACTCACTGTGGAGCCCAGGCTGGCCTAGAACTCGGTGACCCTCCTGCTCCAGTGCTAGAGTTACAAGCATGTGCCACCACACCCAGCGCTTCCTCTGATTTTTAATTTGGCTTCCTAGTGAATAGACCAGCTTTGTTGCAGTTTGGAATTTTTGTCTTACAGGCTGCTCTCGGGTGGACATTTCTTGATTGTAAATTCCAAGTATTTGTATAGCTGATAAAATTTCAGGTGACTGTAAAAGTACTGTCAACTTTGAGTAACACTTACATAGGGCGAAATCAGAATGTTCCTTCTTCAAACTTAGTTTTAATAGATAACTAGCTAAAATTTAATAATTACTGTTTTTCCATCACTCACAAAACAGTTAAATCAGTTTATCCTTTAATCTGATGGACTTGGTCTTGGCTGTTGTAAGGCCAGCAGTTTGTCAGATCGGAACAGTAAAGATGAGTAGAAAATAGCCCTTATTTGCCGGGATTTAGCTCAGTGGCACCCACCACACCTGGCTCGAAAGTGCAAGATCCTGAGTTCCATCCCTGGTACTAAGAAAAAAAAGAAAATAGCCCTTGTTTGTCTTAATTTGACCAAAAGTTGTTAGGGAGCAAAAAAGGGTAGGAGTCCTAAAAAGTCTTGGTAGCTCCAGAACTAAGTGAGGTGTTTTCTTTTTTCCATTTAGTCTTATCATGAACTGTTTTTCACAGGCTAAAGGTTGGTCTTCAGGTTGTCGCAGTCAAAGCTCCAGGGTTCGGTGACAATAGGAAGAATCAGCTGAAAGACATGGCTATTGCCACTGGTGGTGCAGTAAGTAAAAGGGCTCCTGGATGTTAGGTACTTGGGAGTCTTAAGTGTACAGCAGAAAGCACACTTTCACAAGCAGGTGGCACTGAACACTACTGCGTATTTGGGAGGTGGGGTTAGATTAAGGTCCTCCCTTTCATCTCTAGCTTGCCTTGAGTCTGGCCCAAAGGTTAAGTGTCTTCAATTTTTTTTTTTTTTTTTGGTGCCAGGGATCAAACTCGGGTTCTTTCGCTTGCACAGCAGGTGGCGAAACCACTGAGCTAAATCCCCGGCCCAAGTGTCTTCAATTTTGAAAGCATATGATAGATAGCACAGAGAACTTAAGAGTAGCCGTGTGGGGTTGTGCTGATTTTACCAATAAGTGTGGCCTTGGGTGTTTGGTTTCTCAAAACTGGTACTAATGGCAGAGTTGTGATGGTGAGGTGTAGGAAATGCAGTGGATGACTATGAAATGAATCATGTTCTGGACTAGCCATGGCCTTACAACTCTTACTTCAAAGAAACAATATTTCAGGATGATTCTTTTGTCAAAACACCTGCAATTTGTTCACTTTTAAACATTTTTGTAGGTCTTTGGAGAAGAGGGGTTAACCCTAAATCTTGAAGATGTTCAAGCCCATGACTTAGGAAAAGTTGGAGAGGTCATTGTGACCAAAGATGATGCCCTGCTTTTGAAAGGCAAAGGTGACAAAGCACAAATTGAAAAACGTATTCAAGAAATCACTGAGCAATTAGAAATCACAACCAGTGAATATGAGAAGGAGAAACTGAATGAGCGACTGGCGAAGCTTTCAGATGGAGTGGCTGTGCTGAAGGTAGGCTCATGGACTACGCTCAACTTCAGAGTCCTTTAGCTTCTGTGGCCTTTCCTGATGATGACTGAACAGATTATTTGAGGAAGTAACTTCATGGAAATTTCCATTATGGCCTCTTAACAAATTTTGGTGTGTGTGGTATGAGGATCAAACCCAGGGAGTGCTTCCTTACATGTAATAGCTAAGGGCTCTACCACCTGTTCCTTTCTCAGATTGGTTGAGCCTGTTTCAGGGCAGCTGCTATAGAAAACATGTTCATGAGACTAGGACTCGAGTTGGGTCTCTTACCTGAAAACTACATTCAGCCACGGCTGTTGCTGAGTCATGCACTCACGACAGATGGGCAGCCTGATTTCTTTAGGATTGCTCTTTGTGTAAACAAGGTGGTTTTGATTTTTAGCTGAGAAACCGAGGGACACTACTACTGCGCTGTATCTCCAGCCCTCATTTTAAGCGGCTTTTTTGGCAGTGGGCATATTTACTGGGGGAGGCCATACTAACTGGAGCTGTTTTCATCTCCAGGTTGGTGGGACAAGTGATGTCGAGGTGAATGAGAAGAAGGACAGGGTCACAGATGCCCTCAATGCTACGAGGGCAGCTGTGGAAGAAGGCATCGTGCTGGGGGGCGGTTGTGCCCTGCTTCGGTGCATTCCCGCCCTCGACGCCTTAACTCCTGCTAATGAAGATCAAAAAATTGGTAAGGAAAAGTGACCTTTCAGACAGGTTTGTTGTGCCCCGATTGTGTCTTCCTATAATAGCAGCAGATTGCAGTTGCCTGAATACCAAAAGTTGGGTAGTGAAAATCAAATAGTGCTGGTGCCAGAGCTAATAATGCAGGGAACAGATCTTTGCAGTGTTGACGATTGGATTTTCCTACTTACATACTCGAGTTGTATGATTGCATATTATAAAAGAACTAAAGTTGCTAAAACTACTCTATAGGTATAGAAATTATTAAAAGAACACTGAAGATTCCTGCGATGACCATTGCTAAGAATGCAGGCGTGGAAGGATCTTTGATAGTTGAGAAAATCCTGCAGAGCTCCTCTGAGGTTGGCTATGACGCTATGCTCGGAGACTTTGTGAATATGGTAGAGAAAGGCATCATTGATCCAACAAAGGTAAATCATTGAGCATTTTCTTTTTTCTTTTTTAGTACCAGGGATCAAATTTGGGACCTTGCGCTTGCACCGCAGGTGCCCGAACCACTGAGCTAAATCCCCGGCCCCATTGAGCATTTTCTAAACATTCTTCCAGTCCTTCTGAGACATGAAGCTGTCAGAGAAGTAATGTTTCCTTACATTTTCTCTAGGTTGTAAGAACTGCTTTGCTGGATGCTGCGGGGGTGGCCTCTCTGTTAACTACGGCAGAAGTCGTGGTCACAGAAATCCCTAAGGAGGAGAAGGACCCGGCCATGGGCGCCATGGGCGGGATGGGTGGCGGGATGGGCGGCGGCATGTTCTAGCCTAGAGTAGCACGTGGCCCTTGCTGATGAACTGTGACAGGAAGCTCCACGCAGGGTCCTTCCCAGTAACTGGAGAATTCGGATAAAGGAAATGAAGGCTGGCTAATGTAAGGAAATCACACACCCATCATTGCTGGTTTCAGTTACAATATATAATGGTTTACTGCTGTCATTGTCCATGCCTACAGATAATTTATTTTGTATTTTTGAATACAAAAGCATTTGTACATTCCTGAAACTAGGTGCCAGAGCCACATACCAGTGTACTGCTTTCAACTTAATCACGGAGGCACTTCTACTACTATTCTGTTACAGTCAGGATTCTAGTGCTTGCCATCACAGACGAAAAGTTCAGAAGCAGCCTTTCTGTGGAGAGGAGTAATTGTGTACAGAGTAGAGAAAACCAGTTATGTGACAACCTTTGTGTAATAAAAATCTGTTTAAAGTTAGTGATTGTGTTAACCTTGTCATGATGTGGAACCAGACAAGTGAGGATGCTGCCACCAAGGGGCGGAGCCAGCATGGTGGAAACCACTGCAGCCATAGCACTTGGTACAGACCAGGGGAGATGGCGATGGGAGAGGTTCAGAGAGCTGCCAAGCACCCATTGGATTCAGCTCTGTCACTCCTTAGTATTGTCATTTCCCCATCTGAGGGAAGGGAATCTTACAGGCCTGGCCCAAGGCTAGGATCGAAACGGGCTGGGTGTGCTAGTCAAACACTCTACCACTGAGCTGCTCCACGTTTCCTCTTCACATGTAGCTCAAAGCAGGGGCCTGGCCCTGCCCTGCCCCGTAAGGGTTTGTGGCCTGAGCTCGGCTTCCCATCTGGTCAGCTTCCATTTCTGCAAGGATCTAGGTTGTGTCCCCTGAATCACCCTGAAACCATCTCATCCCAGTCCTTGGAAAATCTGTCTTCTGGGAAACCCAAGGCTAGAGGAGACCCCTGATTTAAGAAGAAATGGGTTGTGGTTCCATGTACTTGATCCCTACTGGAGAGTGGAGTACAAACTTTAAGCTAATGGTGACGTGTTGGTGTATACTGATCTGAGAGGTGATGTGATGCTTTTAGTTTGGCTTGATTATAACAGCATCTAGGAGAGTTTTTATCTAGCAAGGATGTAATCGGTTCAAACTGTAGCACGTGGACTTGCTCTAGCCCAGTCTGCTCAGCATGGCCCTGGGCTGCTGCTGTAAGTGAGGCATTTAGGCAGATGGTCTTAACCTTGGAGTAAAGAGTTTGGACAGAGATAGAGGGGGAAATAAAGTCCATCATCACAGATGAAAACTTGGTGACCTACATCCTGCACCTAGAATACCTCTGCCTTGGTAATTTGCTTGGATTGGAAGCAAGACTGGGCAACAGATTACAGGGAATGAAGAAAATGGTATGTTAACTGAAGAAAACCTGCCAGAACATAATTGGGCTAAAGTTGGTGGCAACAAACAGTTTATACGAAGGGTTGGCAAAAATCCCAGGGAAGTGTTTTTGTGAAGAGGACACAACAGTAGGTTCTTAGAAGAAAGGTAAAGCATAAGGAACACCTGGGCTTCGGGACTTCTGGTTGTGTTAGATCAGGGCGAGAGACAGGAAAAGAAACAATTACAGCACTAAGTGCTGCTCTCTGTCCTCACTGGGATGCAATAACCGACACCCATGACTTAAAGGAAGAGGGAGGGTTATTTTGGCTCAAGGCAAAAGGGCACTGTGGAGGAAAAGCTGCTCACCTCAAGCTGGGAAGGGAGATGAGCAGTCTCTTCCCTCCAGATCTCACCTTCTAACAGCAAGTCCGCTGGAAGCCTCCATGAGGCTTTGCAGGCCATTGAGACCTAAACCATGACAGTGGCTGTGTTAGGACGCACTTGCGTTATTTTAACCCTCAAGAACCCTGGGTTAGGGACTGTGTAGCCTACGGCACAGTTACACAACCGCTGAAGGGAAGTAACGCACATGAAGGTTTGGAGCACAATTTCAACCAGTCTTTGACTCAAGGGCCTGGACTCTTACCCAAGAGCAAAGTGGGAATTGCCCAGGGCGTAGGCAGTTATTGCAAGAAAACCTCCGAGAGCTGCAGCCAGAGAAACTGGCAAGTTTTCCTTTCTTAGTCTTTTTTTTTTTTTTTTTTTGATACTGGGGATCGAACTCCAGTCCTTGCACTTGCAAGGCAGGTGGCAGAGCCACTGAGCTAAATCCCTGGCCCCCCTTTCTTAAACTTATTTAAGAAAGTGCACATATATCACTGTGGTATGATTCTTTTAATCCTTTGGGGAAGATACCAGCAGGGGAATATCTGGGTTAAATGGGACTTCCAGTCCTAGTTCTTTGAGGTATCTCCATACTGATTTCCACAATGGTTGTACCAGCCGACACTCCCACCAGCAGTGGAGAAGGGTTCCTCTTTCCCCACAGCCCCACCAGCATTTGTTATTGGTGGATTTCATGATAGCAGCCATTCTTTCTGGAGTGAGGGGGAATCTCAGTGTTGTTTTCATTTGCATCTCTTGAATGACCAGTGATGTTGAACATTTTTTCATGTTTATTTGCCATTTCTACTTCTTTGAGAAATGTCTGTTCATTTCAGATGCCCATTTTAGGATTTGGGAGTTCTGATTTTTTTAAGTTCTTTATAGATTCTAGATAGTAGGCCTCTGAGGAATAGCAGGTGGAAATTTTTTCTCACATTGTGGGTTGTCTCTTCACACTGCTGGTGGTTTCTCTTGCTGTGCAGAAGCCTTTTAATAAGAAGAGATCCCACTTGTTGATTGTTTGTGCTAGTTCATGGGCAACTGAGGTTTTGTTCATAAAATCTTTTCCTACACCAGTGTCTTCAAGAGTTCTACCTAACCTCTGTTCCACCTGGTTCAGCATTTCTATTTTAATATTAAGATCTTTAATCCATTTTGATTTTAGTTTAGTGCATGGTGAGAGAGATATGTCTAGTTGTAATCTTTGGCAAGTTGAAACCCAATTTTTCCAGCACCATTTATTAAAGAGGCTATCTTTCCTCCAGTGAGGGTGTTTGGCTCCTTTCTCAAAGATGAGGTGCTGAGTGTGTCTGAAGTTGTTTCTGTATCTTCTAATCTGTTCCACTGGTCGTCATGTCTGTGTCTTTGCCAGTACCATGCTGTTTTTATCACAGTAGCTTTGTAGTATAGTTTCAAGTTGGGGGTTGTGATACCCCCTGCCATGTCTCTGTTGCCTAGAATTGTTCATAGCAGCACAATGTGTAATAGCCAAAACTTGGAAGCAGCCCAATTGCCCATCAACTGAAGACTGAATATAGAAAATGTGGTTTTTCAATAAAATGGAGTACTACTCAGCCATAAAAAATGAGAAATTAGAGACATTTATACCTAAATGGATGCACATTGAAGCGATACTCTTAAGTGAAATTAGTAGGACACACATGTATAAATACCGAATACAGGCTGGGGATTTAGCTCAGTGGTTTCACCGCCTGCTGCCCAAGCACAAGGACCTGAGTTTGATCCCCAGTACCCAAATAAATAAATAAATACTGAATAGTCCTCTAGTGTGAGAAACAAAGTGTAAACAAGGACTAAAAGGTATAATAGATAATGTGAAATAGGAAGAAAAGGGGCAGAGGGGGAGGGGAAGGAAAGGGAATGGAATTAATACCAGAAAATGAAAAAATGGAAACAAAGTCTTTGTAAATAGTGAGGGATGGAGGGGTTGAAGGGAGGGCAGGGGAAGGGGGAAAAAAGAGAACCAAGAGAGATTATGTAAAGGTGCAAATTTCCAGTGATGAATGACATTATATTGTACACCTAAAATGTACCAATAAAATTAAAAAAAGAATGTCCATAGTCACATGTAATGATGGAACCAGGACTGAAGCATGGGTCTAAGCCAGGTTCTAAATCCAAATGCACATACTGCTTAGAAAGTGATGGCAGAAATACTGGAGAAGAGTAGAACTATCAAGATTAAAATGGTAGCGGAGTGTGATGACGCACATCTGCAGTCCCAGCACCTGAGGACTGAGGCAGGTGGACTACACGTTCAAGCCCAGCCCAGGGGACTTAGCAGAACTCAAAAACTAAAAAGGTCTGGGGATGCACAGTGAGAAGGCCCTGGGTTCCATCCCCGGTATCTGGTGGGGAGCAGGGTAAACATGCTGATGACTGCAGGTGAAGAGGCAGGAATAGTGGATCCTTGAAGCCTGAGACAGTTCATGGAAATCCTCTGGGGAGCTACAGCGAGTATGTCCAGGCCCCCATCAGATGTGGGGCTGAAGACAGATGGGATCGGCCTTCCTGTGAAAGGAAGCAGAGTGCACCTGCCTTTTTTTTTTTTTTTTTTGAGACAGTCTCACTGTCAGGCTGCTCAGGCTGGCCTTGAACTCTGAGCCTCTAGCCTCAGCCTCCTGAGTGCTGGGATTACGGGCATCCACCACCACGCCCAGCTCTGCACCTACCTTTCTGCAAAGGATTATTTCTCTGAACAAAGCACAGTAAAGAGCTCCAGAACTGTGTTAGAACAAATGTGTGCGCCTGAAAGGGAAAGGGGAGGAAGGGAAGGCAAACGCTGATGCACCCTTCACCCCTCGCCTGGATCTAAGAAGCCAGGCATGGTAGTACACACCTGTAATCCCAGCACTCTGCAGGAGTTCCACACCAGCCTGTGCTGCATAGCAAGACCCTGCCTCAAAAAACAAAGACTGAGAAAGGGCTAGCCAAGGGGAAAGAGAGGCACTGAAGTCAGATCCTGGTATTTCAGGAAAACATGAGAAAATGTGACGTTTCTGCTGCAACCAAGATAGCCACAGCTGGACTCCTCTTGGAGAATCAAAAGAACCAAAAACGCAAGTTTCGGGTAAAAACTCGAGGACTCTTCCCAGTGGTCCCGTGCCTAACCCACCAGGCAGGAGGGCCGGCCAGGAGCACCCAGCAAGGTCAGGAACAAGTCCTATGATGGCTTCAGGGCAATGGCCTAAGAAGAAAGCCAACCTCCCAAGGAGCTGCACTTGAGAGGGACTCGTGACCGTGAGGCTGAGAAGTCAGTAATTACTAGGGTCAAATCAGGTGAACACGTCACAGACACAAGAACAGGCACGGAGGCCCATGCAAGAGCTAAGCACTCATCTCCACAAAAGACTTCAAGTCTCTGAATGTTAGTATCTGACACGAGACACAAGAATGGCAAGAGGTAATAAGGCTTTCTGATAAAAATGAAGAAGAGACTCATCCTAAGGGTCAAGGCTCCGTGTCACATTGGCTGTGCAACTGGTTACACGTCACCTGCAGTCACCCAGGTCCTGCACTAAAGATGGTGACTTCCTGAGTCCGGTCCACACCCCTGTCACCCAGCAAAGTGTGAAGACTCCTCTGCAGTCTTCGAAGAAATGGAGAGCAAGCACGTGTTGAACTAGGTAGGCACCCACTACGTGAGTCCTCACATTCGAGGTTAATTCGCCATAGAAAGCGCACCAGGAAGACGGCCTGAGACGCCGGAGAACAAAGCTGCGGCAGGATGCAGAGCTGAAGCAGGCCAAGGGCAAGGCTGCTTTGCAGATGGGTTGCCAGCCCATACCCAGCATGGTCAACTCTGTGGCCTGCAGTCGGGGACACATTCAGGGAGCCCCCAGAAGGCTGGGCTGGCATTTTGAGGGAGTAGATCAAAGCAAGAAGTCGGGAGCCCAGAGTCCCACAGAGGAAGGCAGAGGAAGAGCCTCAGGTGCCTGTCAGGGCTGTGGCCACAAGTCACCAGGACCTCCCCAGAGGCGACCCAAGGGGGTCCTGTTATCTCCTGTAGCCAGGCGTCGAGGCTGGTTCCCTGCTCCTGTGACTCAGCTCTCCTCATGGCCCTTCCTCAGCTCTCCTCATGGCCCTTCCTCCTCACAAGGACAGACGAGCTGCCAACCTGCTGTCCTGAACAATCGGGTATAGACCAAGGAGGCCACTTCTCTCCTGTCTCCTTCTTCCTTCCTCATAATGAGAAGCTTGCTTAGGGTCTCTTCAGTTCCCCAGGCCACACACCACTCAAGAAGTTAATGCCAGAGCTGGGGATTTAGCTCAGTGGTTCCGGCACCTGCCTCGCAAGCACAAGGTCCCGAGTTCGATCCCCGGTACCAAAAAAAAAAAGAAAAAATTAATGCCAGGGGCCAGGGATTTAGCTCAGTGGTGCCACTGCCTGCCTCCCAAGCACAAGGTCCCAAGTTCGATCCCCGGTACCAAAAAAAAAGTTGATGCCAGGCATGGTGGCACACCCCTGCAATCCCAGCTACTTGGGAGGTCGAAGCAGGAGGATCGAAAGTTTGAGGATAACCCAAGCAACTTAAAAGACCAACTCGAAATAAGAGTGCCAGGCCATCTGCCTCACAAGGTCCCGAGTTCCATCCCTGGTACCAAAAAACAAAAGTGCTGCGGATGTAGCTCAGCGCTACAGTTGGTGCTTGCCACCGCATAGCAGGCATATGAGACCCTAGCTGGGGAGGAAGGGGGGGAGGAGAGGTTGGAGGGTCAGTTTATAATCAGGTGGCTGAGGCAGGAGGATTGAGAGTTCAAGATCAGCCAGGACTACGCAATGAGACCCTGCTTGCTTCACACGCATGTGCAAGGGAAAGGGAAGAGAAAGCAGGGAGGGAGAGGAATGGAGAAGGGAGGAAGGGAAGGTTCCATCTAAACCACACAGCGCACAGTGCACGGCTGCCAGGTCGGCCCAGGACTGCCGAGGGATGAAGCGGATGGCAGAGCGCGGCCGCGGAGCTGGCAGCTGCTGTTTCACCATCTGTCTCTGCCACTTACTGCGACCTTGCCAAGATACTTAACCTCTCCGGCTCCAGCCTGCTTACTACTGAGGAAACACCAGGCAGCAACAGTGCTGTGTGAGTGCAATACAAACCAAAATGCCCAGACCTGAGCAGGGAAACCGGTGTTTCAGCCTGTGAAATCCAAGCTGCACCACCACAATCTTCTAAAAGCGCTTTCCTTACTGACAGGCGACGGGTGGAAACAAGGGACCTCACCAGTGACCTTCAGGAAAGCCACCTCATAAGACCGCCTTCCAGGGGCAGCTCCGGCCTGGTGACAGCAAACCCCAGGTGACTGGCGAACTGAGGCTCAGCCCAGGCTGAAGGAACTAGATGCGAGCACCTGTCACAGCAGCCTCTCCCTGGCCGGGCAGCATGGGAGCTCAGTCGTCAAAACACTAGAAGGCACTCCCAGAGCTAGAAAGGCTCGGCTAGGCAGCCGGGCTTAGGCCCAAGTCACAAAGGCCAGCACAGCCCAGTGAGCTGGGCAAACGTGAACCAACACTGCACTGTCACTTTTCCTCTGTTTTAAAATTTTGGGACAGATTCTCATGTAGTTCAGGCTGGCCTTGAACTCACCGCAATCCTCCTGCCTCAGCCTCCTGAGGTGACAGGTATGCACCACCACGCCTGGCTCTGTCCAGTCCTCTGCCTGTGCCTATCCTGACTGCATCTGGGGAGTTCCCAGGTCAGAGGGACTGTTAGATATGGTAACAGTTGAGGGTTCTTGAGTTCTCTACCAAAACGCCACCTCCTGACTAGCATGAGACCAGCCCAAGGACATCCCTGTGCCTTGGATTCTGGGCTCGATGTTGACAGTGGCATTCCTAAGAGGGACAAGGTGTGAGTTCTTGTTCCCATCAAGGTAGAGCAAGAGTTTTAATGAGTCCCACGTTGCCATTCACAAATTCCACTTAGGAAGCATGGCATTGCATGCAGACTGCTCGGGCTGTGGGCAGACACCTGGGCACTGAGCGGGCGCTGCTGCCGGCTCCGTGGAAGCCACTGCGTGCACGGCCAATGTCTGAGGGGCGGGGGTCCAGGATTCTCACATGCATGCGCACACGCATGAGCACACATGCACACACAGATGCACATGACTCAGGAACTCACCACTGAGGTCCCTCGCTGATGCAGAGAATGAAGCTAACACCCAGAGGGCTGTGGGTATAGGTCCAGGAGGGAAGAGGCCAACACTGGTTCAGAGAAGACTGGACTGCCCAGATTTGTCAAAATTTGTTTACAGCAGTATTTTAAGGCATGAAATGCTGTAACACTTTTCTTCCATCTAAACACACTCAATACACGAAGATTTCAATAACCAAAAGAGTTGTACCAAAAATAAACAAATTAACTTTATTAAGTTACTACTTCAGTCCTTACATTGATTTGTTTAAAAAAACATCAGTTTGGAATATATTACTGAAAGCGAGTACACACAATAAATAGGGAAGGGGCTGCTGGTGTGGGAGGACAGTCACCAGAGCCAAGCTGTCACATGGGCAGCAAGAGCCCCAGGAGGCCACTTTCTCCCAAAGGGAGCTCCAGGCTCTGGACCACTCAGAAACCACTGCACACCGCCATGCATCCAGGAGCCAGCCTCAGTGACCAACAGCACCAGGGAGCCTTCTTTAGTGAGCTTTTCCTCTGCAGTGCTGGGGATCAAACCCAGGTCCTTGAGGATGCGAGGCAAGTGCTCTAGCACTCAGATTTATTCAAGGCACAGTCTCACTCAGGTGGCCACGCTGGCCTCAAACTTGTGATTCTCCTACATCAGCCTCCCAAATAGCTGGGATGATAGGCGCATGCCACCACGCCCAGCTAAATCAAAATTTTTGCTTGAAATATATGATTACTCAACTAGCCTAAGCCACATGGCAGGCCCTACAGCAATAAGTTACATGTGTTCTGAATTTAATAACTTAAACATGATATGGTTAATATGTACTATGTATCTCAACAAGCCTCTCGCAGGGAAGGTGCTCATTAAAAGGTATTTTACATTACAGTGTTAATTCCTGCTCAGAATGGTGTCAGTATCTACAGTAGTGGTGGCCTCTCCCTTACTGCAAATGCAGAACCGTAGAATCATACTTGATTGAACAAATACTTCTTATGTACACATGGGTCCATGTTGTGTGTGCAAGTTCTCAGTGGAGCAGGCTTATGATCATGGCTCCCTGACTCCTCAAACCGAACCCCGAAAGCACTGCTCACAGGGACCTGCGTGGGCGCAGGCACAGGTGCAGGCACAGGCGCGGCTGCCCGTTGCCCTACGTGTGGTGCACCTGGTGCAGCATCAGCTCCCGGGGGATGCTCGTCTCTGGGCCGTACAGGTTGCATGCTCTCCTTTCAAAAGCGGCCACCGTCTGCTTCACCACCTCATCGAAAAACAGGGTGGCAAGCTGAGAGTGCAGAAGTGAGCGGAACTCAAATGACACCTGTAAGAAAACGCTCCCAATTATTTTAGAAAGCACTTTATTTTGCTGAATTTCACTTAGAGTTGGCCCTCCCATGTGTCCTGGGCCTTTAAGGTGTAGTGGAGCAGCTCCATCTAGCTGAGTTAGCGCCCATCACGTGCAGGAATCTTCTTTTCTGTTTTTTTTTTTTTTTGGTACCAGGGATCGAACTCGGGTCCTTGCGCTTGCACAGCAGGCAGTGAAACCACTGAGCTAAATCCCCAGCCCGGAATCTTCTTTTCTTTTGTTTTGTATTTCTTATTATGTAACCCAGGATGGCCTCAAACTCACTCTGCAGCCCAGACTGTGATCCTCCTGCCTCAGCCTGCAGTTATAGCCCAGGCAGGCGCCACCATGCCCAACAATATCAGTGGGAATCCTGCTCGCCACCTCAGGCACAACTGCTGCCACATGATGAGTGCAAGTAAACAGGCCACGGAACCCCTGGCCACATGGGAGGCTGCAGAGGCCTCGCTGAGCTGGCTTCACCGCAGTGTCTCCTGAGAGCACTCGGGGGCGTGTCACACCCCACAGAGGCATGGAGGAGGGGCAGTTGTCGCAGCATCTGTCCCTCGAGAAGCAGCAGCAAAGAGGCCTGTGCACCTCACATGAGCGCCACACCCTGAGGAACACGGCCTGGCAGGTGACTACTTCAGTCTCAAAAAACCAAAACGACCACCAAAAACCCAGCTGACTTTTGTTTTTTTCTGTGGTATTAAGGATTGGACATAGAGCCTTCACACTGAGCTACATCCACAGCCCTTTTAAAATCTTTTCTTTTTTTTTTTTGGTATTGGGGATGGAACTCAGGTCCTAGTGCTTGTGAGGCAGGCACAGTGCCACTGAGCTAAATCCCCAGCCCTAAATTTTATATCTGGAGACAGGGACTCCCCAAGTTGCCCAGGCCAGGGAAATTAAGATCATCTTGCCTTAGCCTCCTGAAGGGCTGGGATTACAGGTGTGTGTCACCAAGCCAGGCTGAAGAAATTGTATTTTAAGGACCAAATATTCTCTAAATTTTAAAATATTTTAATTTTTCATCCTTTTCTACGGAGAGTCTGGGGACCAAACCCAGGGCCTCCGCTGAGGTACACCTCAAGCCCTAACTTTTCATTCCCATTCCCATGCACCCATCTCCCAGATTTCCCTATTTTATTTTATTTTATTTTTTGGTACCGGGGAACGAACTCGGGACCTTGCGCTTTCGAGGTAGGCGCCAGAACTACTGAGCTAAATCCCTGGCCCCCTATTGTAATGTTTTATATAACCACAGTACAACTGTCAAAATCAAGAATCAACAGAGGGAATCACTTAGGTAATAATGCTAGTATCTAGTTTATACAGACCTTCTTCACACCCCCAACTGTCCTATTCCTGTCCACTAATTTCTAAGTTTATTTTTACTTATGGCAGGACCACTGCCTCAAGTTGGAGGCCAGTCTGGACTACAGAGTCTCAACCGAAACAACAAAAAACCCACCATTCCCTAAGATTCAATGCCTGAGTTATAAGCACAGAGAACAACTTATTTCTTAAAAGGTGTGTTTCAGAGCTGGGGATTTAGCTCAGTGATTCCACCACCTGCTTCGCAAGTACAAGGACCTGAGTTTGATCCCCAGTACGAAAAAAAAAAGGTGTCTTTCAGTAATCTCTAGGCATAGAAGATAATTATAGCACCTGTGTTCTGAAAAAAATGGGTTACTACTACTTTAGCAGCTTCACTTTCTATGTGAAATGAATGAGAGACTTACCGAAAAATCCAAGGTGCAAGTTCTTGGGTAGCCAGGAAGGCCAGGGCTGAAACGCCAGATCGTCTCCAAATGTTTGAAAAGTCTCCCATCTGTGCAGGATGCCTAGAAGAGAGTGAGAAGGCTACAGTTAACACCCTCAGTCCTGGCAGGAAGTCCACCATCGCTGAGGCTTATGTCCTTCAACCAACATTACTTGGCAGGCCACAGCACAACAGGTGAAGAGATCTAACAGCCCGGCACTGCAAGCCCTCTGCCAAGATGCAGACACCACCCTGTGGCTCCCAAGTGCACTACCACACCTGGCTTGGTGGCTCGTTTTCAGCTCTTAGCAGGCATAACCTGAGTCTAATAAATGCCTTTTTTCCTTGGTAGCTTACTCTCCTCAAGAGTTTAGAATGTCCTTCCCCTGTGCTGTACCCACTGCACACAGACAAGCAAAATAAGGACTTGCAAAGGCCAATTCTTTCCTCCAAGAAATCACTTTCCTTTCCTAACTCTAGCCTCAGCACAAGCAGCATGCCACAGAACATGCCAGAGCACACAGCTGTGGGAAGAATGGTCAGTGCAGGCCTGAAACATTTAGATGTGCAGCAGTGCCTGCCCATTAAGGAGTGTGCATGTGTGTGTGTGTAGGGGTGCTCACCAGGGAGGAGGGAGGGACAGTGGGTGGGTCTGTGTGTGGTATAAGAGGTCATCTTTATCCTGCATGTGTAAGAAGCCAAAGCTAAACAAAGCTGGGGTGTATAGTTAAGATGTCTTAGAATTTAGAAGCAGCATCATAAACTAAGAGCTCAGTTCTAAGAGCTTGAATGGTATGAGAATGAGGTCAGAGAATGCAAAACATTTTTAAGATTGCAGAGCTATTCACTGGTTTCAAGCAGACCAAGTAAGTCTTGGTTCTGTGACCTGGGCAGGGTATCCAACTCCTAGCCTTCATTTGCTCCATAAGGTGGAGAGTTACACTCGAACCTCCTAGGTTTAGGGCTAACATGGGGTTCAAAGCCTGGTGTTTGGGAGGCAACTGGATCGTGGGGTGCTATGGCTGACTTGCTGTTAGCAGGCAGGGCCTGGCCTGACCTGGCAGCCGTGTGGCCTGGAAGGGTCTGCCTCCCTCCACAGATCCTCCCTGGACACTCTCTGCTCCCGGTCTGCCATGGCATGAGCAGCTCTCCTCCGCTCTGCTGCTCTGCATGCCGTCCTGCCTCCGAGCCAGCCAGCCAAGACAAGCCTCCTTTAAACTGTGGGTGTCAGCTTTGGCTGAGGCATTTGGAGCCCAGGAGTTTAAGCTGAGCCCGGGCAACATAGGGAGACCCATCTCAAATTAAAATAAAAAGTCAGGTGTGGTGGCACACACCTGCATTCCCAGCACTTGGGGAAGCTGAGGCAGGATGATCACTGTGAGTTCAGCCTGGGCTACAGTGAGTTCAAGGCCAGCCTGAACTACAGAGCAAGACCCTGCCTCAAAAAAAGAAGAAAAAAAATCTATGAGGCAAATAAGTGAAATATGTGTAATAATGTCAAAGCCCAGAGTAGGGTGTAGCCTTTTACAAGTAGTTAGTTTGAGACTCCAGGGGCTGAGCTTTGCTAGACAGTGCACTCATGTGCCTGAGGAAGAGTCCATCTACCTGCCCCAGAGCTGGAAAGCCCCATGATGCTGTCATGAATCCTGTGCACACAGAGTGCAGCTAAGCCCAGGTCACTGCTAAGGAATTCTCCATGGAATTCTGCCTTCCTGTGGGTGGAGTCTGCACATTTTTTCCAGATGTGCACCCTCCTCTGACCAGCGAGGATGACTAACGTCGCAGAAGCTGGCTTTTAGTACCTGTTACACGCAGACACCTCAACAGTGTTGACATTCCCCCTATCTCCACACTCAGACCCTCCCTTTATTTTTTGGTGGTATTGGGGATTTAGCCCTGAGCTCCCCATATGCTAGGTAAGTACTACCACTAGCCTACATCCTCAGCCCTTTTATTTATTTTTTATTTTTTTTGGTACTGGGGATAGAACTCGGGACCTTGTGCTTGCGAGGCAGGCGGCGGAACCACTGAGCTAAATCCCCAGCCCAGCCCTTTTATATTTTTTGCAGAGTTTCACTTAATTGCCCAGGCTGGCCAACTTGTGATCTTGCGATGTTGAACTTACAATCAACCTGCCTCAGCCTCTCTACTAGCTGGGATTATAGGTGTACCACAACTCCCAACCCTTCTCTAACTTTCAAAAAATGTGGCTATTAAATAAATTTATTTTTACCCTAGTGGTAAAACATTCAATATATTTTCCAAAAATAGTGCAGGTATTAAACATTTCTCCCCTGTAGTCCAAATGATCTTTCCTGATTCAGTAGTCCTCAACAGAAGGAAAACAAGAATGCTAATATTGTATAAAGTAACACAAGAGACACAATAAATGAGTTTTTTCCTCTTCTTCCTACTAGTAAAAAGATATCTTTATAAGCTTTTTACATGTTACAGTATGTCTCATTTGATATAACTGTTTGAAGAATATTTAAAAACAAAACCCAGAACTATTACCTTTACCAAATGCGGTTTCACCAAGGTTACTACTGATGTGTATCGCTCCAGCACAGGTGGAAAGCCAATTTCTAACCGGGTTTTACAATATCCAGGTCTCCTTGATATTATATCCGACTTCTTGCACCAAGGAACGAAATGCTTGTAATCCTCCATTCCCGATACCACATCATACATTTCCTGCATTGAATATCTTTAAAAACAGATGTGAAGGGCATTAACAGCTTGTTATATGAGACATGTTAGAATATTAATAAAACTTATTCACGCTTCACTCAGCACCTACATCGGATCACAATCTGGGAGGAGTTGACTACAAAGCAATACAGGAGGTGAAAGGAATCGGAATAGACACACACTGCAGAAGTCACAATTTGACAGCTCATGGGTTAATTTATCCTGCAGATGTGGTTTTTACATTTTTTTCTCATGCACTTAATGGAGAATCTATATTTTAAAAAACTTTAAAAACCAAAAGGCCTTGTAGTCATACATAGGTCCACACCTCCATATAACAATCAGGTAAAGCTAGATGTGGTGGTGCACTCCTGTAATCCCAGCACTCTCTGAGGCTGAGGCAGGAGGATCACAAGTTCCAGTCCACCCCATGTGACTTAGTGAGACCATGTCTCAAAAAAGTAAAGAAGGGCTGGGGATTTAGCTCAGTGGTGCCAACTGCCTCAAAAGTGCAAGGTCCTGAGTTTGATCCCCGGTACAAAAAAAAAAAAGGACAGGGATTTAGCTCAGTTCAAAGGCCCTGGGTTCAACTCCCAGTACTACACGAAAGAAAGAAAATGGGTGAGTTGACTTACAATTTCTTACTCTCAGCCAGCAATTTCACTTTCAGCAATATAATATTAAAAATACAACCACATTATACAAAAGATGTTCACTTCAATACTGATGGTGGGAGGGGAAAAAATGGAACCAACCTACATGTCTGTGAGTATACAGACATTAATAAAAGTTTAACAAATCATAGTGTAAGATTTATGTGGAACTCTATAGTGACTACTCAAAGTTAGGTCAATGAAATATATATATATATATATATTTGGTAACAGGGATCGAACTCCGGTCCTTGTGCTTGCACAGCAGGCAGCGAAACCACTGAGCTAAATCCCTGGTCCAAATATATATTTTAAGGCAAAGATATTTACAGTACCATGTTAATGAAAAGCAGAAAGCAAAGCAGAATATGTATGGCTCTTTTAAGAAAGTGTTAGGTATATATTCCAGTTTCTTCCTGAAAATAATACTGACAACAGAACATCCGTAACATTTAAAATATCCAGAAGGAAACAGATTAAATAATCAGTTAATTCAGGGAAAAAAAAGAAGGGTATTGGTAGACTAACTCCTCAGTCTATGTGCCTCCATTTTAATTATTTTTCTATAAGCATGCACCACTATTCTAATTTTTGTGTATGTTAAATTCCTCAACACTTGATTTTTTTTTTCCTGATACTGAGGATGAAACCCAAGGCTTTAAACATGCTAAGCATGCATCTACTGAGCTACACCACAGCCCATTTTTCCATTTTATTTCACAAAAATTGAGTTTCAGTGCACGTATTTTGATCATATCCATCCTCCCTTCCATTCCCCTCCCCTTCTCCCTTAGTCTATTCCACCTAGTCATAGTCTCCCTTCAATTTTTTATCAGTTTTAGATTTCACATATTAGGGAGAACAGGATATTTGTCTTTGAGTCTAGCTTATTTTGCTCAACATGTCTGTTTAGGCCGGGGATTTAGCTCAGTGGTTCTGCCGCCTGCCACGTAAGCGCAAGGTCCTGAGTTCAATCCCCGGTACCAAAAATAAAACAAACAAACATGTCTGTTTAGTCCATTTACCCACTTATTGATTGGGCTATCTGATGTTTTGGGGTTAACATTTTTGAATCTGTTTTTTGAGACAGGGTCTCGCTAGGTAGCCCAGGTGATCCTCCTGTCTTAGCCTCCTGAGTGCTGGGATTATAGGCGTGAGCCACCAAACCTGGCTGTTTTTATATATCCTAGAGGATAACAATCTGTTGGAAGCATACCTAGCAGAGATTTTCCCACATTCTGCTGGCTGTCTCTTCACTGTTAGTTCATCCCTTGATGTGCAATTTGATATAGTCTCATTATGTTGGTTCTTGTGCTATGAGTCTTAGGAAGTCTCTGCCTGTGTTTATGGCTTCAAGTGTTTGCCTTGTTTTCTTTTAGCACATTAAGTTTCAGGTCTCTAATGTAGGTCTTTGATCCATTTTGAATTGATTTTTGTTCAGCTGAGGTGAGACAAGGATCTAATTTATCCAATTTTCCTAGACATTTGTTAAAGAGATTCTTTTCTCCCACACATATTTTTCTCCAACATGCCGTAGCTGCAAGGGTGTCTGTATCCTCTATTATGCTCCATTGGTCTACAACATGTATTTGTGTGCCAGCATGCTGTTACTATGGCTTTACAATTTGAAATCAGGGATTGTGATTCCTCTAGTCTTGCTCTTTTGGCTCAAGTTCACTTTAGTCTATTCTGGGTCTTTTGTGTTTTAATGTGAATTTAAGGATTGTTTTTCTAGTTCTGTGAACAATGTCACTGGTATTTTGATGGGGACTGCATTGAATCCGTAGACTGTTTATGGTAATAAGGCCATTTTAACAACAGAGTTCTTTTATCCGCTTGCTTAAATTGACCCCTAGGCTTTTGGGGTTTTTTTTAAGCTACTATGAATGGAATTATCCTGATTTCTTTCTCAACTGGTCCATTGTTGGTACATAAAAAAGCTATTCATTTTTCTAATGTTGATCTTAATATTCTGCTACTTTGCTGAATTTAACTCCCCTAGGTCTTTTGGTATAGTCTTTAAGATCTCCTAGGAGACTTAAACTTTTCAATTTACAAAAAAAAAAAATGATCTCCTAAGATAGGATCATAGTTTGTAAAGGATAATCTGACTTCTTGCTTTCCTGTATTCTGCCCCCCTTTTTTGAAATAGGGTATTGTGATGTAGTGCAGGCTGGCCCTGAACTTGCGACAATTCTCCTGCTTTAACCTCCCCAGTGCTGGGATTATAGGCATGCACCACCACGCCCGCCCTCCCATTTATTTTTCTCTTGTCTAATTCATTTGGTTAAGATTTCAAGCAGTGTATTGACTTGGGGGTGGTGAAGAGAATACTTGCCTCATCCTGACTTGAGAGGAAATGCTTTCAGATCTTCCCTACTCAGATGATGGTGGCTGTGTGCCTGTCATATATGGTGTTTACTTTTCATAACTCATTTCTTCAGGGATTTTATAAAGGGACATCATGCTGTCAAAGGCCTTTCCTGTGTCAAGTGAGATGATCACGTGATTTTTATCCTGAATTCTATTTATATGGCGTAGTACATTTATTGACTTGCATACAATGAGCCATCCTTGCATCCCAGGAATGAAAGCAACTTGATCAAGGTGTGTGATCTTTTTAATGTGTTGATTTGGTTTGCAAGCATTTTATTAAAGTTTTTTGCATCTACATTTTTCAGAGATGTTGGTCTAGTTTTCTTTGTTGTTGTGTTCATGTACAGTTTTAGTACAGGGTGATGTTCGGCTTATAGAGTGAGTTTGGAGGCTTTCTTTCCCTTTTATTTTATGGAATAGAGTGAAGAGCACTGGTGTTAGTTCTTCAAAAATTTAGTAAAATTCAGCAGTGAACCCGTCTGGTCCTGGGCATTTTCTTCTTGAGAGACTTCTTCTTTGAACTCATTTCAGTACTTGGTTACTGATCAGTTTAGGCTGTTTGTATCCTCTTGCTTCAGTTTGGCAGGTTATATGTCATCTGGAAATTTATGTTTCTTCTACATTCCCAAATTTATTAGAATATAGGTTTTTAAAGTAGTCTCTAATAATCTTCTGGTTTTCAGTGTTGTCTGTTGTAATATCTCCCTTTTCATCTCAAGTTGTATTGATTTAGGTCTTTTTTCTTTTGGTTAGTTTGGCTAAATTATCAATCCTGTTTACCTTTTCAATATCAATCTTATTTGATCCTGTGTATTGCTCTTTTAGTCTCTATCTCATTAACTTCGGCTCTGATCTTTTATTATTTCTTTTCTTTTGTTGGTCTGGTTTCAGTTTGTTCTTGTTTTTCTGGAACCCTGAAATTCATCGTTAGGTTATTTATTTGAGATCACCCTAATTTCTTGATGTGAATGCTTATACCTATGAACTTCCCAAATGCTTTTGGTGTATCCTAGATTCTGGTTTCCACTTTCATTTGATTCTAGGAATTCTTAAATTTCCTCCCTGGATTTCAACGACTACTAATTATCTAAAGTGCTGTTCAGTCTTCATGTAGTTGTATAGTTGCTGTGGCTTCTTTTGCTGTTGATTTCTAGCTATATTCCATTAGGCTCTGATAAGATACAAATACTACTTTAATTTTTTTTTTCTTCTTTTTTCTTTGGTACTGGGGACTGAGCTCAGGACCTTGGGCTTGCAAGACAGGCACAGCAACCACTGAGCTAAATTCCCAGCAGTACTGCTTTAATTTTAAAAAAGGAAAATAGGCCTGGGATTTAGCTCAGTGGTTCCGCTGCCTGCCTTGAAAGCGCAAGGACCCCAGTTTGATCCCTGGTACCAGAAAAACAAAACAAAACAAAATAAAAAGGAAAATAAACTATTCTAGAACACAATGAAAGGAAATCTACTATTCCTTTTGTTTGTTTGTTTTTGTTTTTTAGACAGGGTCTTGCTATGTGTAGTTCAGCATGGCCTTGAACTCACTATGTAGCCCAGGCTGGCCTGGAATTCATGGTGACCCTCCTGCCTCAGCCAACTGTGTGCTGGGATTACAGGCATGCGCCACCACACCCAGCTTTTATTCCTTTTATGATTTACCATAAAAGAATAGCCTAATAAAAGAACAGAAAAACAAAAGCTTATCTACCAACATCAGCTAGTCAGTACTGATGCAAAAATTGTAAGAAAAACAGCAGCAAATAGAATCAAACAATATATTAAAAAAAAGTAACAATCAAAACCAATCTACTTAGGGATACATGGATGATTTAACACTAAGAATCTTATTCTTTTAATGGTATTAATTGGAAAAACAGGAAAAACTATGATTCTTTTCATAGATGATGAAATATCAGAAGCATTCCCATTAAAGAACACAAAAATTTTGAAAATATTAGACAAAGCATTAAATCAGAGCATGAAACACAAAGCATACTTGCTAAAAATATTAGGTACATTTATCAACTGGCAGGTGGTATGAATGTTAATTCAGAAAAATCAATTCGGAATTCAGTAAGGTGGCCAATTATGAATTATACAGAAATCAACTCTTTCCCTATACTAAACAGAACTAGGAAGAAAATACTAGCATAGAAATGCAAAATACCAGGCTGGGGATGCAAATTATATATCAAACACGATTCACCCCAAAGTGATATGATAAACAATTTCATGAGACCCTGTCTAAATAAATAAAGGTTAGGAGCTGGGTGTGGTGGTGCATGCCTGGAATCCCAGCACTCCAGAGGCTAAGGCAAGAGGATCACCACAAGTTCAAGGCCAGCCTGGGCTACATAGTGAGTTCAAGACTATCCTGCCCTACAAAGAGAAACCCTGTCTCAAAAAAACAAAGAAATAAAGGCAAGGGATGGATGTAGCTTAATGTGAAAGCCCTGGGTACCAGGAAAAGAAAAAGGGAAGATGCTTTTCGAATATGACAGAATTTGGGCCTCTCTGTACGTACAAACTAATCTTTGTAATCATGAAAAGAACAGCATATAAAAATGCAGGTCATAGCCAGGCATGGTGGTGCCCACCTGTAATCTCAGCCCTTGGGTGGCTGAGGCAGAAGATCACCACAAGTTTGAGGCTAGCCTGAGCTACTTAGTGAGATCAAGGCCAGCCTGAACTGGCCTATGTATAGCGAGACTCAGTCTCAAAAAAAGAAGGGCCGAGGATTTAGCTCAGTGGCTCTGCCACCTGCCTTGAAAGCACAGGGTCCTGAGTTCGATCCCCAGTACCAAAAAAAGAAAAGAAAAAGAAAATGCAGGTCATAAACAAATTATTTCCTTGATGTGTCAAGGTTTAAATCTATCTATAAAGTACTATATTCATATAATAGTAAGGGGTATGGAAAGAACAACCAACAAAAAGCACCATTTAGTAAGAAGATAATCCAGAAAGGGCATAATTCTCCACAAAATACTGTGAATGCGCTCCTTCAGTGGAATTACTACTTTTTTTTTTTTTTTGGTACCAGGGATCAAACTCAGGTCCTTGTGCTTGCACAGCAGGCAGGGAAACCACTGAGCTAAATCCCTGACCCTGGAATTACTATTATATACATACAAACCCGATAATTCTTCTCTCTGAATATTCTTTTCTTTTGTTTATTAATGGTGCAGTGATTTTGAAGAAAGTTCTTGCATGTATCTCCTTAGGCAAAATTGAGGTATGTAGTGGGAGAGTTCTGCTCATCAGTATACCACAGGAAGCTAAATATCTAAAAAAGACAAAAATTACCTGATTTAAGATGACAATAAAAATAAGAGGATGCACAAATTATAGAGATTTTTTTAAAAAAAACTATCATACATTAGAAGGCTTTGTACTTCAGAATATTCCTGAAAACATACAATCTCTTTTTCTCTCTTATGCAAGCATAGATTTAGGGGGAAAAAAGCTTCTGTAGCACCATAAGGAAAACTAAAATTAACAGGTTACAAGCTTCTGGTACTAAAAGTATCCCCAGAAAGCTGACTTTCAATCTGTAGTCATGCATCACTATCTACTCTTACTATATGCACAATAGCATATTCATTATCTCTTTTTCAATTCATCTTATCTACCCACGTAGTTTTGTCAGCTGGAGCCAAAGTCTTTCCTTAATTCCTGACCAACTTCAAGGAGACTTGAAATTTGGTCCCACTCTCAAGATCAGAATTCTCCTGGCTCTGTTCATAGCACCATTGCTCTGTTCTCCTTTACTTTCTAATCTTTATTTCAACAACATGTTTGTAAAAATAGGTCTAGTTAGAGCATTAAAATTGTTTCAGGGAACTTGTATATACAGATACCTGGATACCTGCTGTCTCCCTGTCCACCTAAATACATTTAACCTTTCCTAATAAGATGACATTCTAGTTGAGGATTCAAGAAGAGTACTAGAAAACAAATAGGTATGGAGACATGTAATTTGGACCTCCTTTGGATGGGCTTCCTAGCTGAGATATAATAAACAAGGAGTTAGCTGTACAAAGAGAAAAAATAGGTATGTATGTACACAGTGAGTGTACATAAATGAATATACAGATATTACTCATATATATAAGTAAATGGGGGAGGGGAGTAGTGAGTATTCCATACATAGACAATAAGCTTCACAGTACCCAGAGACCAAGACAAACTAACAGTACACTGGTAGTGTAGCAAGCCAAGAGGAGAGTACCAAGAAATAATGCTGCAGATAGGAGCTGAATCACGTTGGGCATTATTGGCCAGGATAAAGCAATTTGAAATTTATTCTCAATGAGAACCTATTAAAGAGTTCTGAGTAAGAGTGACAGTTGACTAAATCAAATCCAAAGCCTCAACCAGTTTTGTTTTGTTTGTTGCTGTTACTGTTTGGTCAGAACTGGGGATTAAACCCAGAGCTTCACAACAGTCCCAGCTTTTTATTTATTTATTTATTTATTTAATTTTGAGACAAGAGTTTGGCTACGTCACTAACTTGCCCAGGTTGGGCTCAAAATAATCCTCCTGCCTCAGCCTCCCAGTGTACTGGGATTACAGTTGAGTGTCACTGTGTCCCGCCCTTTTAATATTTTTTGCACAGTTCTGTTTCTTAGCCTGAGCATCCTTCTGCTTCAGTCCCCTCAGGAATTAGGATTACAAGTGTGTGCCATCATGTCCAGCTCAAATTATTTTTAAAAGGGGTTCGAACAGGGTAGCCTTATGAAATCTCATATTATCATACCTAATATTTATATAGAATGATTTATATATAAACTTTTTAAAATAAATGATATTTCTTGAAAGAGACTGACATCCTACCATTTAATTGGGGAAGAAGAGAAAATTAAGATAAAGACAGGTTGAACAATTGAGTCTATGTGGCCAAAAGATAAAGGATAATATCTAAGAATACAGCTAAAAAAAAAAAGCCCAATTAAAGGGAGACCAAAAATGGACTCCATAATTTAAGAATTTTTAAACAATTAAAGTTGTTTATAAAAGATGAATGGGGGCTGGGAATGTAGCACCACAGCACGTATCATATATACACTATGTATGTATGTGCGTATGTATGTGCTTCTGAAGAGGTGAATTAGGTGTCTGGTTGGCCAGAAAGCTTACTTTTTCACTGCACAGGGTCTTTTTTTTTCTCCTGGTACTGGAGATTGAACTCAAGACCTTCCGCTTGTCAGGCAGAGGCAGTACCGCTGAGTTACATCCCCAGCCCTGTACCTGGTCTTGTAGTAGGCTCGTGCATTGCTTTCCCACACTTCTCCAAAGATTCCCTGACACAATCTGCTTATAATCCTAAAGGAAGGATCTGTACATAAAGCAAAACAACATATCTCCTGATCACTGTGCATGCTACGGTTACAGTGCTATGGATAACACATCTACTTTTCACATACTACCGAGAGTAAGGGCTGAGGGTGTACAGCTCAGTGGGATAGTGCCAAGCTTAGTGTGCAAGGGCCTTGGTTCCATCCCACCAATATGAAGGGAAAAAATATCTTCAACTGTAATATGAAGTGCTGCAAGTCATATTCACAGTTAAACTGTGAAATGAATACTGAACCCCACTGAGGAAAGCTTTTCTTTAAAAAAGAAAAAAAGAAATCGGGCCAGGGATTTAGCTCAGTGGCACCACGCCTGCCACGAAACCACAAGGACCTGAGTTTGATCTCGGTAGCAAAAAAAAAAAGAAAAAAGTAATCTGCCAATACTACTCTCCAAACCCCTATGATACTAAAGGTCAGACTGTGACAACACACCTGGCTCTCTAATACTCTATCAGAGTAACACCAGCCGACGTGGGGCGGCCTCTGCTTGGAGCTACTTTTTGAAGTTACTTCCTAAAACAAGAGTCATCTGATTCTATCTCAGTTCCACCCTGTATTTGTCTAAAAGGATTTGGAGGTGGATAAAATTCTCCACTGAATCTAATACCCAGGTCTCTGCCTATTTGTGCTTTTATGCTCCACCCAGTACTGCATAAACACATACGTACCAACCGCTAAACGCTTAGCGTCAGACTTTTCCAGAATAACCTCCTACAACGCAATGGTAAAGGCGAGCGAGTAGAAAACCACGGTGTGGCTCCTGGATCCCTCGTCCCCACCCGCCTCCCCAAGGAAGCAACCCCGAAAATCAAGGCAGCCCCGCTCAAGGTTACAAGAGGAGCTGTCTCGGCGCGGTGCTAAGAACCAGCTTGTCAGCTGCAGTTCGCGGCGGGCCTTTCTCGGTCTCCGCGCCCCGCCGGACCCCTGAGGCGGGCAAGGGACCGAAGGAGGCCGGGCGCGACCTCAGCCGCCCCCGAGGTCCCGAGCGGAGGCCGCGACGGTCCCGACGCCGGAGCCTCGGGTCTCCCGAGCCGCCGGGCCGGGCGGAAACGTGTGCCCGCGGCCGCCGGCTTCCTCACCTGACGTTCCGCGTAGGACCCCGCGCCGGCCTCGCCCAGCATCCCGAGGCTGCCCTCATAAAAACCCTCTGGCCCACCCGAGCTGCCATGATCTTCTCTCGAAAGCCGGCTGCCACCTCAGACCAGGGCGGCCCCGCGGCCCCGCCCTCAGGCCCAGCGCCGGTGCCTCGCAGCCAATCGGTGGCCCCTGCGGAACCGGATACGCCCCTGCCCCGCCCCGCGAGCGACCGGCTGACGCACGCTCCCAAGGCCGCCCGGCAGATTGTAAACGCCTCGGCCTCCCGCCGGCCAATCACGAGGGCGCAGGGCAGCCTGGACACGCCCCCACGCCGCCGCCCGCTCACGCATTTACGTAACACTCAAGGGCCCGCGCTACCCGCCCCTAGCGCTGGATCCCTTCCCTGGATTCGCCAACAGCGGTGCCGGTCTTGGGGAGCTGCTTCCGGTCGCGAGCCCCCAGTATGTGATCCCCGCCTGGGCCCCGGAGCGAGCCGCGAAAGTGCAGAGCCCGAGGCCAAGTGGTGGGGTCCGCGCTCTCGCCTGCGTGTCCGGGCGCCGTGAGGTTAGGCCCCGCGGGGCGCCTCGGTTACCTAAGAGCCCTCTCTCTGCCTTCCTCCTGCGTGGCCTGGCTGAGATCCGTTCTCCTTTGAGCGGTGCGGGATGAACGACTGCCGAGGCGCGCTTTTCCGGAAGGCAGTCAGCCGTGCAGTCCTGACCTCCGTCCGGTCACTCCGAGTCCTCGTTTTACCTGTGTGGCCTCGTTTCCCGCTGCGCTGCGAGCATGGCGCTGCGACTTACCCAGTTGGTACCCTTGAGCGAGTGAGAGTTTAAGTGTAATCAGCGATTGTTTGGGGGCATCTACTTGAGACAGTTCTTTTTGTATAAACTGGAGGGGTTTTTTGTCTCCCCAAGTAGAATAAATTTGAGGACAAAAGTTTAGGAGAGAGTTTATTAGAAACAAGAAGAAAGCTGATACCACCAAGAGGGGGCAAGAGCGCCTCTGTGTCTCCACCCTATTTTTAGCTTTTGTTTTTGAGACAAGGTCTCACTATGTAGTTCGGGCTGCCCTTGAGCTCGGTGTCACTGTGTTCTGCAGGATGGCCTCGAGCTTACAGTGATCTCCTGCCTCAGCCTCCCAGGTGCTGAGATTAAGGGTGTACACCACCACTAAAACATACTGGGTTGGGGGGGGGTGCTGGGTATCAAACTCAGAACCTTGCACTTTCGAGGCAGGTGGCAGCACCACTGACCTAAATCCCCAGCCCTAAAAAATACTGGTTTTATGCCTTCAGTCAAAACAAATATGGGATGAATTTTAATCACAAAACAAGATCTTTATGTAAACATCACATTTTTTCCTGAAATAAAACAGTTTTTATTTTTGTCGCCGAGGATTGAACCTAGTGCCTTACACCAGCACACTGAGCTACACTTGTTTTTTTTTTTTTTTTTTTTTGGGTACCGGGGGTTGAACTCGGGACCTTGCGCTTGCAGGGGAGGTGATGACACCACTGAACCAAATCCCCAGCCCTACAGGCAATATCTTTAGTAAATACTTGGTTTTAAAAATGCCTTCTAAGAAAGTCCACTTTTTGGATTCTCTTCCTGAAGAAACCAAGAGCCTTATTTTTCCTTCTTTCCAATAAAAATTCCCCTGACCCCATTTTGGTTCACAACTTCGTTCATTGATATTGAGACCTCAAACTTGGTTTGTACAAAACTAACTTTCATATTTTGGAGGTCCCACTGAGGTGAGATTAATGGGAGGGAAGCCCCAAATGAGGGGTTTTTATTGTGTTCTATTCTTGTACTATAACTGTGATTCCATTTAGGGGATAGGGAATTGCACCTGTCTTTTCTACTGGATAGCCTTATGGCCTTATGTCTCCTGTCACTCCCCTGGTGGTAGAGTAGATTTGGGGAACAACATGCCTCATATAAACATGGGGAATGTCAGCCAATTAAAAAGGCAGTCATCACAGGTGCTGCTCTTAAAGCTCAGGAGAAAAGTTTCACTGGAGAAGAAAGGAGTGTTGAGCCTGCTCTGCCTGTTTCCTTTCTGATTTGATCTTCCACTGGTGAGAGAGCCATTTTAGCTCTCTGATGCTCTTGCTCTTGGTCTGAAAGGAATAGTGGCTGTTAGGTGAATTTTTCCATTAACTCACTGCAAGCTGGATGAGGACATCTCACTGCTAAGGCCTCTTAACTCCGACTTTCTCCTGCTGATTTTCCTTTTTTTCTCATTTTTTTGGAGACATGTTTTACTAAAGACCCAGAGACCCAGCCAGAGAAGCTTTTAGTTCCAGTCATCTTTCTGCCATTTGTGAAGCAAGGGTTGGGAAAGTAGTGACGGGCATAGCCACTCTTTTATGCCTTCTCCACTGCTCTTCCCCCATGGAATAATGAATACTTGGTAGGATGGACTAATTGGTCTTTTGAAGCCGAGCCATCACAACACAGATGATTTCCTTGCTAGAAAAGAAAACAGTCTTAGGGACCCTTATGAGTTTGATGGCAGCTTTAGGAAAAAACACCAGATCTTAAGGGAGCCAATAGCCCCACCCCTAGTCTTCGGAGGACTGCCTCTCTCTTGCCATGATATCTCTCCAGAGCATAGCCCCAGGTCAGCAACTGACTTCTATTCTCAGAGACGTGCCAGTTGAGGGCTGAGAGAGGAAAAGACTAAAGCTAGTGTAAACCAAGGGGTCACAGGAACTTGAGGAAAGGGGCACAAGCACTGAGAAGAGTGGACAGTCTGGTTCTGTTCCACTTCCTCAAGCACCTCCAGCTCAGCACTGCTGGCGCTGGATGGGTCAAGTCTGAGGGATACCTTAGGTGCGAAGACAGAACAAGCAGGGATGGGCGGGGATACCTCCTCTCTCATTTTTTCAGAATGGAAAAGCTTGGTGTGGAAGTTAATTTCCCCCACCCCTCAGAATGCGTACTTGAAAGCCAGGACTCCTTTGAACTCGGCTCCAAGGAAGTGTCACCTAGTCTTTTTCTACATCCATACTGGGCCTGAGCATCCCCTGGAAAATGGGAAGTGGTTGCCAAAGGAAAATATAAATTGCAACACTACACCCTTAATGGGTATGCCCCTTTGGGAACATTTACAGAGAAAACAGTTGTGGTTTTCAGAGGAGTGCATCTCCTGTAATGATTCTAATACAGACACTATTCCCCATCAACTGGAAGGGGGCCTGTACTGTGGAAGCAGCTATTCCAAAGATTAAGGTAGATCATTAACCTGACATTCTTAAAACAAGTCCTTGCTTTCAGGGGCATAGAAAAGATACGACCTTAAACCTAGTTTTATAATAAGGAGGAATAAAAAACAAAGATTCCATCTATGAATTTATAGGTCTTCTCTCCTTACCATTCTGACTCATTGATTATAAATGTATAATGTTAACTAACAAGAAAACTCAAGGTAGCTTTTAAAATATTAAAGGAAAATACCATTATGACATATAAAAAACTAATTGATGATCTCTAGGAAAAGTTCTAACTGATCTATTTATAGTTATAAACCTAAAACTACAAAAGATTATTATAATTCAACATGGTCAATAAATCTGGAGTGTACTCTGATTAAATGTATTTGTTTCATATGTTCTATATGTTTTCTTGCCTGCCTGCCTGCTGGTTTAATCTTGTTACAGTACGTATGTTGAGGCTTACATAAGATTTGCAAATAAAAGCCTTAAAGTATGGTAACATAAAAGTTATGTATGATTTAGGTTAATAAGCATGTTTCTGTGTGGTAACTTTCAGGTATATGTATTATCCTTCAAAAATTCCACTTAAATCACCTTATACATAAATAGACACTTATATTAGTTCAAATGCTTGTTATTCACATAGCTTAACAGTAGGCTACATCAGTTTTTAAGAGTAAAACTGTCTTTCAAATTGGTGACATTTTTCCCTCCAGGTTGTTAGCCAATCTAGAAAATATTAAAAAATTGATTTTATGAGTGCAAAGTCTATTGTTTTCTGTGTACAATAATTTAAGACTTTTTCCCTTGGTTAAAAATGTTATATATTAAAAAATGTTATATATACATATACATATGGCTTGGAAGTACTAACTGCTGTGATTTGGTTCTCATGAGTCATCAAAAGCGATTGTTAAGATAAATAAGTGGAACCGTTTGGTTTGGGAACTACTGGACAAAACTACTCTCTATGGCTGAAAACTCAGCTGCCTAAATCAGTTTGCTTCAGCTTTCTCCACTGATGGGTGGCTTCCCCAGTTTTGTCCACTGAGGCTCTTATTGAGTCCCATGCCAATGAATGTTGTGAAAATTTTATATCTATATATATTACAGTCAAATTATTATATATTATAATTATGTTACAATCAAATCATATATTATAATTAAAAGGTTAAGTTTTTATGTCTAAAGTAGTAAGGTTTTTAAAGGTAATTAAAATGGAGAAAAAAGAGGTTCTTCCCTTTTCTTCAAAATCAGAGGCTTGGGCCGGGGATTTAGCTCAGTGGTTTCGCCACCTGCTTTGCAAGCGCAAAGATCCGAATTTGATCCCCGGTACCAAAAAAAACCCAAACAAAACAAAATCAGAGGCTTACCTTGTAAGGCCAATTAGTGAAAAAAGAAAAAAATGGAGGCAGTTGACATAAGCCCTTGTCTATCTGTGTGATTTCATGCAGGCTATAAACCTATTTACTAGTGCCACCCACACCCAGGCTGGGGCACCTGCAATCCTACCATCACACCAAAACACAAACTGAGAAAGAAAAGCCATTTACAAAACTAGGGTAAGTGGGACCTGCAGAAAGATGGCAGAGTGATGAACAGCAGAGCAACCACCTCTCTGAGATCTGCTGTCCAGATGCTGGAACATACCAATGTGAGGAAGAGAAGGAGGGGGAAGTGGGTCCCCTGGCCCAGCAAGGATCTGAAGGGAGAACTGAAGCCCATGGGGAGAACAAAGAGAGACTTCAGCAAAGAAGGAGGTGGCAAGGGGCTCTTTCTCCCTGGTCCTGACTCACTACGGGGAGGAAGGAACCCTTCTGCACACTTGGTGGGAGTGCAGACTGGTGCAACCACTGTGGAAGTCAGTGTGGAGATACCTCAAAGAACTAAAAGTAGAAGTTCCATTCCACCCAGCTAAACCCCTTCTGAGTATCTTCCCAAAAGAATTAAAAGCATCATACCACAGCGATATATGCATACC